TTAAATGAAAAAGGTTGGGAATGCCTGTAAAATCGCATGTGGCGTGTACAAATCACAAGTTAATAACAACCGGCGAGCACGAATCACGCGAAAAAAGCCTTGGCCCCTATGCATAATCAAAATTTCACGCTTAGTTCCACCCCCACCGCCACCACCTTCAAAACAACACCGCCTGTGTTTCAAATTACATGCATACACGAACGCGGCGGCGGCGGCATCAGTAAAATTAATTAGCAAATGAAATATTATGCCCATCATTATGGGTAGGTACATTTATGACGCATGACAACATACGTGGCATACTTATAATTAAACTACCAATTACTCAAGCACCAAAACTAATGCCAAGCAATGCCGGCCTCAAACAAAACACGAATGCATAACATAACTAATTGCAAACAGATGCAAACGTAGAGATAATTAAGATTAAGGTATTATTATAACAAGTAACACTTACAACGTATATTACCTCTTTGATGCCTGGATGCAGAACGCATCCTTTTTTGGCAATCACCATTGTTTAGGTTTAAGATTTTTTTTTTGAATTTTTAGATGAGATTTTTTTTTATTTGCACGTACTGAACATGGAACGTATTTTGCTTTGTGTTTCTGTAGGGGCGGCGGCGGGCACATGACTGTGGCGGCATGTAAGCACCAAGGGTGCGATAGCCACGTGGGAAAGTTGAGCGCGGGCGGCGGCGCGAGCACGCAAACTCGCACCTCGACGTCAGACACGGTGAGCTAACGGTGTGCTGCTGACGATGGCGTTATTTTTAGCAAATCATTAATACGTAATCTCGCAATCTCATAATTATGACGCTTTCAAGAAAGCTCACAATAGAATAAATATTAACGCATACTTTCGGCAAGTTTTATAAATCACGAGACTGTTGAAAATTGCTTCTGGAATGGAAAATAAACATCGATATGTCATTTTTGATAGGAATCTTATGTTTTTCAGATTTTTAGTGTCAATTTTAAGGATATATTCAAGAATTATGCATAGGTCACTGTCATTCTAGTGTTTATTTTGATGGCAGATGCAGTAAATATTAAATTAGAGTAAATTTATGACTGTGACGCAAGAAATACCATCTATTTTGTTTAAAAACGTTCAGCAACCAACTAAATAACTAAAATTTGTTATTTTATATGAAAAAAGTCCATATATTTGAAGAAACAATAAACTTTTATTTCCTTTCTCTACAAATGTACTGCTAAGCGACTCAGGCACAACTGAGCATTGCTTTCCGAGTGATTTGCTCTTTTGTACCTGCGTACGACCCGCAAATAGTGGTGGGGGAAATATACGCCGCGTGTGAATGCATGACACACGCATAATTCACACCTACCTGACTAAAAATATCATAATTTGTTTTTCGGTTTGAAACAAAAAATATAGTTATGTTAGCAACAAATTATATGAGTTTACATTAATATTAACAATTGAGCAAACCCATCAATTACACTAAATAAACAATATCCGTAATTAAAGTGTCAAAATTGATAAATACACAAGAAATAACACACTCGTGAACCCTACAATGTGCTATTATAAACGTATATAGATAATATAAACATGATAGTAATCGAAAAAATACTCAACATATCTACAATCTATAAAATAGCACTCCTCGTAAAACGAATAAATGACTAACAACACTTTGCACAAGTGTCAAGTTTCTCAGTTGAAATAGAGTTTGTTGTGTGGTGAAAACATGGCGGTTCTGTTACCCCTCGCTGCAACACTTTGTTTTCCAACTTTCAACGAAACCGTGCACTCGGCATTCGCCCACAATCATTACGTGCAAATAATTCATAATGTTTCGTCAACTCACACGTGCGAGGATGACTTTCTGAAACAAATCGAATCCAGGATACCCGTATACCTCATGTTACAGGATGTCAAGGTTATGGAAAACATTCGGAACTTTATTATTTTCTATTCTGACACAACAAATGAAGATTTACATTTGGTGATTTTCAGGGACTTAGAAACTTTGCCTTGTTATTCTAACGTGTTGATTGTTCATTCTAATATAACTTTACAACAAATAAGCATTAGAATAATTAAAGAAGCGTTTAGAAGACTAGTTCTTTACGTTACTATTTTGTGTACAATAAATAGCACAGAAATAATTGTGTCAAAAAACAAAATGAATATATGGTTGCCTACAATGCGTAAGCGAACTCTACGTGTATCCTTATTTCAATATTCGCCGTTTGTGTATTACAACGCGAAAAAGGATTGCACGATGGAATAGAAAAGAATATTTTGGATCAAATTATTAATGGATGGAATATTACCTATGTTGAACACGTACCAAATTCTTGGGATCTTGTTCAAAAAGATGTTGCAAAAGGTGATGATATCGGTCTTTGTGGTTCTTGGTCTGAGGCTGTCAATTATACAACTGTGGATGCCACTAGATACTATACACAAGCATGTAGTACTTTTGTGGTACCCAAATCCAAGCTGGTACCTCTCTCATTCATTTACATTTTACAATCATTTCATTACTCCTTGTACATGTTACTCTTAATAACAATGATTTTACTATCTATATTACTAACACTACTCAGTAAAACTCATCGACAACATGCAGATTATGTCTATTACTTCCTGGAAGTTTACAAGAGTACCATCAACATGTCAATTACAACCCTGCCGAAAACTAACTCACTCAGATTCATCTTGGGAGTGTGGTTACTTTGTGCAATACTGATAAACGTTTTCCACACTGCAGGTCTCACGAAAAGACTTTCCTTTCCTGTTTATACCAAACCTGTGAATACATTTGCTGACATGCACAATCAGAACATAAAATGGCAGCTTAGAAGTTCCAGCCTCCTGCCACTCATCAACGCTTCACATGATCATAATATAAATAAACTGAGAACACTTTTAGTTGGTAGTGATACGATAGGAGTAGATGATAATGATATAGATTATGCGCGATTTGCATCTCCTGTCAATCTGGTCTATCATGACGTTGATGTATCAATAGAAAGATTTGAATCGTTGGCGAGGAATGCCAGACCATTGACACAATGCCTCTCAAATAGTTATTTCGTATTTCTTATTAAAAAACATTCGCCTATCAAGCAGATTTTCGACAACAAGTTAAAACAGATCACACAGGCTGGGTTAGTACAAGCCTGGATGAGACAACTGCAATATAAACAATACAAAGAGCTGAAATTAATGCCACTTTTTCATCAAACATATCCAGACTTCACACTACTAAGAGCATTGACTCTGAAACATTTACAAGGCGCATTCATAATTCTTGCTGGTGGATATGTTGTGGGTATATTAATTTTAATTATGGAGAAATACTTCTAATGTTTTTATGACATACTATGATACTATTTTAATTTACAATAAAGCTTTGCCTTTGGGTTTTAATTTGTTCTTCAGGATAGTTTCAACTTGTTGTTTTTCTAATTGTAGATTTTGTTTGTGCCTCTCAACAGCAAAGTCAATTTCACCAGATAGTTGCAATATCTTGGCAGCAATTTCTTGCTGTTTTATGATGCGGTTTTTTTGACGCACGCCTAGTGGGGTCGGTCGTCCATCTAGAAATGTATAATCAGGTTTGTCTGTTAAAACACCTGATGTATTAGGATTCAATGGAAGGCCTTTCTCCTGTCTCCACTTTTGAATGAGGCATGTTGCTCGAGATGTTGAAAGGTTTCTAGTGAATGCAGTTCCTAGAATAAATACAGGCATGATATGCTAAGTTTATTTTAAATATTGATAACATACTTATCTGCAGTAAGCTGTTTAATTGCATATTGTGTATTTTTCAGTTATAACACAGAGGATTCGGCTTGATGAATGAAACTGTGAGTGAATTTGTTAGACTTGTAGGTTACGTTCAAAAAAGTTAAGTTGCAGAGTTGGATCAAAAATAAAATCAAGTAATGAAACAAAATATTTCGTCAATGTTAGTCAAATTTATTTGATGGTTACAATTTAAATATGTATTATTATCTCTAGAAAATTGTTTAGTGAAGAAGGCGTCAATGTTAGTTATTGACAACCATTTAGTTTCGCGACTGGTCACGCTTGAAAACGTTCATGCAATGTCGGCATATCACGCAAGTATTGGATTCGCTATTGGACGCCCGAAGGCTGGCTTTGTCCGATTTATGGTTGTGCCTATTATTACTGACATTAACTTGCTCATACTGAAAACCTGCCTTCATTTCTTGAGGGACTGGTTGGGTGATGCACATGCGCCATTCATTCGTCGAAGACATCTTGTCGTCCCCGATAAAGTCCCATTTTTGCGTTTTCTGCGAAATAAAACAGAACACCAGAGTTAGTTCAAACGGACCCTTGGTGGCCCTCTACTTCTGCTGCTTTCACTTACTCGGCATCGTGATGTTGTACTACCGGGCCCGGCTGTGATGTGCTGTTTTTAAAGTATAAGACATACACGCACACACAATGCGTGGCGAGGCGAACCATGCGGCCCACTTGCGAACCCGGCGGACCCATCGCTTTACCATCCCTTTTGCAGCGCGTACGGAATTGAAAAAGTTGGTGGCAGACTATTTTTATTGCTTTGTACGGGTTTATTGGATATAATCAATATAACATCAACGTACAATAATCCTAACACGGACAGCACATAGTCGGACCGCATGGCCCGCAAGGGCCACAAGGCCCACACGGACCACATGGGCCACATGGGCCGCACGGTCCGCACGGCGGGCAGGGCATGATTGACGCGCAGGGCCCGCCGCCTCCGCACTGCTGGCCGCAAGGTCCGCAAGGTCCGCACGGGCCGCAAGGACCACATGGCCCGCACGGGCCACACGGACCACACGGTCCACAGGGACCGCACGGCCCGCACGGTGACGAGCACGCGTTCATAGGTAACATGGGTGAGCACGGTGAGCAAGTTGGTCCCATGGGCCCGCAGGGTCCGCAAAATGGTCCGCAAAAAGGTCCGCATTGAGGTGATCCATTCTGTGCAATAGAAAGACAATTATATCTGTTTACGCAATTAAATACTCTCTTTTATTCTAAACATATCACGATGAGCCAATGTGTGACGAATGAGTATGATGTTTGATTTTAGCCTAACATGGACAAGGACAAGGCATGCAGCATGGACCGCAAGGACCGCATGGACCACAAGGACCGCATGGACCGCATGGACCACATGGACCGGTTGGACAGCACGGCATCGGGCAGCAACCGGTACCGCAAATAAGATTCGGTGGCATGCACGGTGAGCACGGCCCACATGGTGGACTGCATGGTGGGCATGGCCCACATGGGGGACCGCAGGGTGAGCACGGTCCACATGGCGGCATGCATGGCGAGCATGGCGGTACACACGGTCCACACGGCCCACATGGTGGACCACATGGCGGCGGTGGGCATGTAGGCATTGCCCCGCAGCAATTCGACGGCTCGCGTAGCTGCTTGCCACCCATTTGCGCAAACAGTTTGCTATAGTTCTCCAGCGCTGGGCAGCATGACGCATCCGGCAGCGTGCGGCAGCAGGGCGAGCCGCGGCATTCTGTGCGTGGGCAGTGGTCCTGCAGGCCGTTGTGCTTAATGCAATCACAGCCAATGAGCATAATGCTCGCACGTAGCTCTCTAGATTTGGTCCGTTTGCAACATACCGTCGGTGGTGGGCAGCAGCTTGGTGGGCCACAACTTGGGGGGCCACAGCTCGGCATTCCTCCGCCACAAGGCGGGCACGGCATACAACAGGGTGGACCACATTGACTTGGCGGGCAGAAGCCACCAGGTGCAGGACATGGTGGAGGGCAGCTACCAGGACAGCAGTTAGGCATTGGCGATGGACAGCCGCCAGGACTGGGTGTGCAGATATTGCAGCATGGCGCTGGGCACACCGGTGGTAAGCATACTGGAGGGCTGCCAATATTACACCCACCGCAAGGGTTTGAATTCATAGATGGTGGCAGTGGAATAGGTCCGGTGCATGGAGAACAGCATTGGGGCGGCCCATTTGATGGGCAAGGTCCGCAGGGACCGCAAGGTCCACAAGGACCGCACGGCCCACAGGGTCCACAAGGGCCACACGGCTGACATTGAGGTGGTGGTGGACACTGTCCACATGGTCCACAAGGTCCACAGGGACCGCAGGGACCGCACGGTTGGCAAGGTCCACCTGATCCGCACGGATTACATGGCCCGCATGGACCACAAGGCCCACAAGGATTGCATGGGCCACACGGATTGCAAGGGCCACACGGCCCGCAAGGTCTGCAACGCACAGTCGCAAATCACAATCTAATAAACCAGAAAAACACATCTTCCGCGACTACTTACGCGCAACATCTATCGTCAATCTGATCGACGAGCGTCTTCAGCTTGTACAGCAACGAGCGCCGTTTATCTGAACAACTCATCTCAAACAGAAATTTAAATCCTTCACAAATTTCACACTTAAATTTTGACTAACATGTAACACACGTGCAATTTGGTGGATATGATGTTTTAGTAGTGGCGCATAATTTATTAACTGACCGTTGCGATGGCAACGCTTGCTCGGCAAGGCAGCCATGATGTCACAAAATTAAAACAAAAGTACAAAACAATTTCGATACATTCAAAGCCAGCTAATCAAACATCAATTTCCATGCCGTCCGGCTTTGTAGGCTTCCATTTCATTCAAGTAAATATTTTGTTGTACATAATCACGCACGCTGTTCATCTGTTGTTGCCACGCGCTCCACATTTGTTCAAATTCGGGCACGCTCTCCATGGTGTTGAAATTTTCTTCTAAATGTTGTATAGAATTATCATATAAATCTTGATAATCGCAGCCTTCAGTCTTTTGAATACGTTCAACATTTGTGTTGGGAGTCTTTTCAACTTTAGGAACTACATCTTTGATGACTGGCACCCATTCCATCACACGTTGATTAATTGATTCATATGCAGCAGAATCAATGTTTTCATCATCATTACCACCCGTACAATAATCCTCGCACATGTCAGCGTAATCATCGTAATCAATTTCGGGATTTTCTTCATTGGCAACATATTCAAGCAAATCTTGTAATAAATTGAACGGTTTCTCTGTGGGCACTTCTTGTTCTTCTTTGTAATTGAAGAGATCAGCCCAACTTGGTTTTGTTTTGTCAATAGCAAAATTAAAGGCATGAATAAAGACATCTTCAATATCTGCAGAAGGAGATTCATCAATAGTTGGCTCTTTAAAAGTTGTTAAAAAGTTTTCAATTGTTTCTGTTTGATCCGTATCAACATCAAAGTTGTCATCATTCAATAAACCTGTGACAGTTAGAAGTGAGATATTTTTGTTTAAAATTGATGATTTGTCTGGATTTGATTGTACAGTAGAGTTTTTGGCGTTTCCAGCAGCTAACATCGTCAATAAAGCAGTCGTATCATCATCGCATTCCCGATTTTCGACATTTTCATTAACAACTTTTGTCTCCACAAACTTCACATTGTTAGATTGCATTTTTTCGTTTGTTTCTGAATCGATTGTTTCAACCACTCTCTTCTTTTCATTTTCTGTATTAGTATTTCTTAATATTTCATTCACAGACCGTACAATATCATCTTTAGACTTTTGTTGTTTCAGAGTTCCGTTAATAAGTTCAAAACCTTGAATATCGGCCTCCCAAATATTATCCGGCAGATTTTCTTTCGGTAATACTGGTACAGTCATTTCACAACCACCGATAGCCCCGATAATATCACTAAATTTCGTTACTTCGGCGCCTTTGGAAGCAATTGTTATACATAAACCTTTCGACCCATACCTGCCAGCCCTGCCCATTCTATGCAAATAAGTACTCTCATCGTTTGGTACATCATAATTAATTACTAAATCAACATTCACCGCATCAATTCCTCTAGCAGTCAAATCCGTAGACAACAATATGCGACATTGAAACTCTTTCAACTTCTTCAACACCTCCAACCTTTGTTTCTGCGTTTGTGCACCCGATATAAAATCAGCCTTCCAATTATTAGTATTCAAGAAATTCGTTACTTCTTCTGCGCGTGTTTGATAATTACAGAAGATTAAACATTGTGTGAACGACACATGCGTCAATAAGCGAATCAACTCGGCATTTTTATATTTTGTTAAGAATAATGCGTTTACATTGAATGCGGTGATACTAACAAAATGTTTGAGTCCTAATAACAGTGGTGTGTCCACTACAGGGCTGACATGGGTTGGTATGTGCATGTATTGAGAAAGAAAAGTGTCTAATTCATTGGGAAATGTTGCACTAACTGCAAGCATTTGTTTGTTGAGTGGTAAACTGTGGAATATCTTGTTGATGTCTGATTGGAAACTGCTCTCCATTAAACTGTCGGCTTCATCAAGAACAAAGAGTTTCACATGTTGGACATTGATTGCTCCAGATGTGATTAAGTGTAATATGCGGCCTGGGGATCCAACAGCAATGTGACATCCTTTAGATTTGACTGTGTCTTCTTTTACAGGCAGTCCACCAATGAAATGTTCAACCTTTAAACCTGAAAATGATTTTTTTAATGCAAAACAATATAATATCAATGCTTCTTTAGTAAAAGAAGTGTACTATGAAAGTTTCATCTCTAAAAATGTGACAAGAAATTTACCTGTGATATGTTTTCCAATTGTATTAATAACTTCACAACTTTGGACAGCAATTTCTCTAGTTGGAGCTAATATTAAGACTTGTAGCTGTTCTTTTTGAATATCAATCAATTCTAGAGCTATGATTGCAAAAACAGCAGTTTTCCCAGTGCCTGATTTTGACTTAACTATTAAATCTGCAAGAATTTTTAATTAGAAGAAATGATAACTGCTTAGTTATTTAAAACCCACCTAAGCCACATTTTCCTAGTGGAATAGCTTTAAGTTGAATTGGACTTGGTTTGGTGAAGTTATACTCTTTTAAAGCTTGCAGCACTGGAGATGATAAAAACAGAGATTCAAAATTAACATTAGTCTCGTCAATGAGCACATCTCTTGTGCGTTCCTTTACTGCAGACATTTTGTTATAAAAATATCTACTAAACTCTTTGCGTAGAACGAAAAGAATTAAGATTCTCTGAGAATTCAGGAGTGCATAGTGTTAGGTTAGATAGGTAATGGACAATTTAAAAAGTTTTTCACAAAATATAAACTATATATTTACTTAATATTTTTATTTAATAATTTTGCAATTTTATAACTTATAAACCTGATCTTTAGACACAAAATAAAATTAAAATAGTTACTAATTTATTTTTTGAATGGGCTTAAGACCCATTAGATGGCGCTGCAATGCAGAAATTATTATTTTTCAGCAAAACGCAAACCGGCGTCCAATTGTAATCTTAACCCTACAATTCTTATCATAAATCGTCAAGTATTCGAACAATCGCAAAATGGTAACTCATTTTCAAACATTAATATGAGTTAAATTTTAAACAAATAATTATTGTTTTAGTTGTTCTATTCCTTCTTTAAATCACTAGTTGGTAAAGATGTGGTAGTTGAGCTTAAAAATGATTTAAGGTTAGTACCATTTGGACACTCTGCAAATAAGTTGTTTAGCTAAATTATTTAATAATATACATTCTTATTTTTTAGTATTTGTGGTACATTACATTCAGTGGATCAGTATTTAAATATTAAACTATCTGATATTAGTGTAACTGACTCAGAAAAGTATCCACACATGGTAATTACTGTTTTGATATAATATCTTAATGTTTATGACAAACATGGTGTTTATAATGTTTTATGATCTATAGTTATCTGTGAAGAACTGCTTTATCAGAGGATCAGTGGTGAGATATGTTCAGTTACCTGCTGATGAAGTGGACACCCAACTTCTACAAGATGCAGCCAGGAAGGAGAGTGCTGTACCAACTCGTTAATAACATGAAATACTGTGTCAGGAAGTTCATTTTCCAATTATAATATAAGAATTATATATTTTTTTAGGTTTCAAGTGTGTTTTATTTTATTTATTGAATTAAAATAGTATAGTAAGTATGAAATCAACAACTCAATAAAAAAGTAAAGGTCATTCTGTAAATAATTTAATATTTTATTTGAATATTGCAATAATACTACCAAAGTATTAAAAAAGAAATTGTTTTTGTTTATTTTGTAATTTAATTCTGAATGCCAGATGCGATGTATATTTGGTTGCCTATAGTAAACGCCGAATTATTTAAGGGCGATCTAGAAACAGGGCCGAACTTTTAAAGCTTAAAGAAAACTGAAATTTAAACGCCCCATAAAATCTATTAATACAAGTGAGTAAATCCTTTGTTAAAGTTTATTTAAAATATGTGACAATTCAATATCTAAGAAATCTTATTCCTAGCACTTTTAAATATTTTTATATTTATATATTTCGTAAATGCATAATATATTTATTTATTTACATTTGCTATAATTCGCTTTGGCTTAATAAGGTTTTATCATCACAAATATTTATAGTTTAATCTCAAAAAACACGCAACGCTGCATGACAATATTTACAATGCACCGAAATCAGAAATATGTACACTTATTCAATAAATTATACGCATAATATATTGTAATTTGCCGTTGTGCATTTGAATGACTAGACTTGAAACCTTTCTGTTTCAGTTTTGTTTAAAACTCGATGAGTTTTATTATTGCTCGGTGTTGAAATAGGAATTCTGCATGAGGTAGAGTTTGTCGATGGGATTCGCAATCACACCACTGGTGCTGATGCCATCATGCGCCATCTGGTGACTTGATTGGAGTTCTAAATTCTGCAGTGACAGTGTATCGGAAGTGCCTTCATCAAGATGGTCGAAATTCGTGCTGTCATCCAAGGAAATATCTGAACTACAGAAGCTTTCACCCGAATGTGCTGGATACGCATCTGTAAGTACATAGAAATAGGTTAGGTTTATAATTTAGTAAATATTTGTGATTGTTTGTATGCTCACCGTCCGGTGAGTATGGCATGTTAGGGTTGAGCGGTTGTGCGAACCCATAACGACCACGATCACTGTGCGGTGAGCTCTCGCGCCGCTTGCAGTCGTCATCCTTATCACCTTTATCCTTATCGCCCGCTGAAGTTTTCCCATCGTCTTGCTTTGCCTTGCGTTGAATCTTCTTCATCTTGGCGCGTTGATTTTGAAACCATACTTGTACGACGCGCACACTTAGTCCTGTATCCTTGGCGAGCGCTTCACGCACCTTGCGACACGGTTTCGGGCTGACTTCGAACGAAGCTTTGAATTGCCGACGCTGTGCAGATGTGAGAATAGTGCGGGGACGTTTCGGTCCACGGCGGCCATCACGAGGACGCGTGTTTTCATCGAGCAAATCGTCGTCACCCGAACCGGCAGCTTGTTGCATAAGGTACATTTCTTTTTCGTAGTCTTGTCGACAGAATAATTGCCCGGCGCGTAGTACAAACTGCTCGCCTTTTTGTAGTGGTTGGCAACACACCACGCACACGAAACAAGGTAGGTGGTAAACGTGTTGCTGCGCTCGCATTACCATCTCTTGTGGAAGGAGGCGGTCACCGCAGCGCGTGCATTTAACTCCAAATATTCTAGAATTTATGAATGGAGATGTTATTTTAAGATTATAGCGAGTATTTTGGTTTATTTTGCTCAGAAACGTATTAATTTAGTAAAGAAATTAAGACATTTTAATAATGGCAATTTATCACTCAGTTCTTAAATTTTAAACTTTTAGTGAGCATAATATAATTATTTTAAATCTAGGTAGGTAGGTAAATAGTAGTCTTGTTAGTTAGGACTTTTATAACTCAATAACCACTGGACAAATTTTCATAATATTAGATTTGTTTCCGCTCCGAATAACAGAATAAATATTATCATTTTTTCATTAATCACTTTTTTTAGAAATTCAAGTATAGTTAGAGCTAAGTACTAATTATTCCGGCATGGCCCTAAAGTGCCATTCTTATTGAAAATACAAAATAAAAGTTTGTAACTAACACAAACAAAAATTTATTCAACTTTTTGACAGTGCAATAATTTAAACGCGTTCATACTATTTGGTTACACATATTATAGTCTTGGGGCTTACCTATCGTAATCCGATTTACAATATAATTTTGTATTCCTCGTGTAGCAGGAGTGATTCAGAAGGACGCCGCAAATACTGCAAGATAAACAATGTTCGTGCCAGCTTGCATCTCCAACTCGCATCAAATATCGGTCGTGAATTTTCTGCCCGCAGCCTTCGCACATCTCATACGTCTTCTCGCATTTTATAAGTGTTCCATCTATAAATAACAAAGAAAAGAAAACATAGAAACAAATCAAACACGCAAAAACAATCAGTGTGATTTTATAATCAGTAGTCCGTCGGATAACTCTCAGTTTGTTCGGTTTGTTCAGGTTAAAAGTATTATAATAGCTATAATGGACGTTGATGTTTGGTAACAAGGAAAACGTTTTCACGTTTTTCACCCTTGCGCATAATTACTGCCTTCTACGGAATAATTCACGCTATCATTAGAGGCTTGCTCACAGACCATTGAGTGTCCATTGACGCGTACCGATTTTTAAAAAGATTTCAACCAATTAAGGCTAAAAAAAGAGAATTTCTCTGTACCTGTTCGTCCATTGCATTCGTTTTGATTATTATCGGGAATCATGACATGATTCAACTGTAGATTTGGAAAAAACTCCAACATTTTGTTCCGGTCTTAAGTCACTCACAATAAAACACTTATATTCACTTATTTTTGCGCTAATTCACTGATTTCATTATAACCAACTTCGATTAATTCTCAATTCGGTTTCTCACGTCTTGATTTCTTGACTTTCGAACTTCAACACACGAAAACAGCGGCGGGTGTCTCACGGGTGGCGTAAAAGTTTTCAGTTTTCGTGTCGCCGATGTCGCGCCGTCGTCGAGCTCGTCACTTCTTTTACTTTTAGCGCTGTCGCCCGCCCGACACGTACACGTCGGTGGCCGGGGCCGCGCCGCTATCAGCCACCGAAAAGGGGGATGATCGCCCCACCCTTCGCTGGTTGGCGCCGTCTACCGCTCGACTCCGGGTGCTGAAACCTGCTGGAGCGCTATACACGTACGGGGTTATGATATAAGGGCTATTTTCGTGTGGAGTAGAAAGCGCCTGCTCCAATATCATGGGCGGAGTATGTTTGGTTGCTATCTGTGACTTCTGCGCGATGCGATCACATCGTAAAATTGTCGATCTTTGAGGTCTTTGAGCCATTTCAAGCGTTCAAACTGGAACTAGGACTAGAACTACTATATTGCAATCAATATCAATTGATATTTTGTTTCTATACTAACCAATTTATATTTTTTATAATTTAACTGTATGAAAAGTTGCCTAACATCAAACTTCTAGTTTTTAACCTAAAAATTCATATCAATATTGAATAGTAAAAAAAGTAAAAAAAAATCATGTAGGTATCTATATCTTTATTTACACACTACTCTACCACGCAGCGAGGTATTACCAGTAAATCCCCGACGCACGACCATATTATCTCGTCCGGCTTGATTCGTATAGACAGATAAGATCATCCCGGTAGATATAAAGCGCGATTTGCGATAGATCCTACCTGCTGCGCCAGGCCGTGCGCCACTCAGCGAGGATTAAAGTCTGTCAGTCAATCGTGTGCGCACACACAACAGGACAACATAAAAGATACGTAATATTCCCATGTTTGACGACGCACCCTTTACGAATAGATTTTTTGGCTTTTGCGAAGGCGTCATAAGTAGCTCACACATGATAAGCATCCACTATGAATGTAGTACATCGATAGAAATCTATTCCCACGTTGCAGCTAAAGCGCAATTAAAACATTTAACCTGAAAAATCAAATAAGTAAGATGAAAATTGCGTGTTAATAGGTATGCAACTTAATAGACACATGCTTTGTTTTGAGTTGTTTAGATTTTCGTACAAAATGAATCCACCACGTGGTAAATGAAGCATGACAGATGACAGACAAGTATTCAGAGCGGTGACGGGCGTAAATCGGGCTAAACAGGTGATTACGCATTGTTTCGCCCTCGCCGTGGACATGCACTTGCCCCATGCGCATTCTCTGTTATGCTATGTTTACAATTCGCAACTGCGACAAATCGGGAATCCGGCGCGGCACCTCGCTGCCAGTCGCTGTTTCGCGCCTCGGAGCCAGGGGCGACACGCGTATAATATCCGCGTCGAAACGTCACATCTCACATCCGTGACTAAAGCGATGCAGCTGCACCTTGTTTACCCCCTAAACATCATCATTACGATTAGCGCAGCGCGCGGACCCCAGCAAAGTAAAGATGAAATCGGGGTTGAAACTTGCTTCGTTCTCCCCTAAAGAGCAGGATCACGGCCGGACCCGATATAATTTTTCAATCTGTTTTAGTAAATTACAAATAATTTGCGCCCTTGGTATGGATTTTTCATTTGTACGTGTTGCATGCACTTGTTTCATTCCGGGAGAAGGGGAAAGTAGAACTAAGGGATGTTGAAATATAAAAAAAGTAAAGAAAAAGACACCGTGTGCAAGTGAGGACTGATTAATTGAGTTTTAGACTAAAAATTAATTGAAATTTAGAAAATATTTTTGAGGTTTTATTAGGTATATGCACAGTAAACAGACAGATGTTTAACACTTGAATTTTTCAATTACGCAATTATTACTGGTGTGTTTATTGTGGTAATGCAGAGACACGAATAACACACCTTGTTGAGTATTAGATTTGATAGTAATGTTGGGTCACAACACGCGATCTTTTGGAGCAGTAATAATCCACTGTGGGTACCTCTTCCGTGCCTCTTCCTTTTTGAGTGGGGTGGGATGGCGGGGTGCGTTTGTGATTAGCCCTCTCGATCGCGCATCGCCGCACCGACGAAAACAGATCACGCTGTGTGGATGCATGGCAGGCTACTCGAAACGCAATAGCAGTTGTTCCATTCGACCCGACAGACAATGCAAAACAACGCATAACGCCAAGGACAACAAAAAATCAACAATAGGATGAAGGGCATCTTGTAAAGTAGTAGGTACTCAGTGGCTGCAATTAGCTCACTTTAAATAAAAAAAATTAAAATTCAATATTTTAAGGATAAAACTGTTAGTTTAGCAGTCATAACCTTAAAATATAAAAAAAATTATAAACACTCTATATATTGTTTGAATAACGCCGTTGGTATGTGAGGAATATTTTTTGAAGCACTTTTAAGAATATTCCAAGCATGAGGGCTATTTTATTGCATTCCGTTCAGAAAACACACACACATTCACACACACAGAGACTTATGCAATAAGTACCCTCGCAGAGTCTTGTCTTCAATTGTCTCGTATTGTTTTCTAAAGTGTTTGGAATTTTGCGCGCCTCAGATGTTTAATGACCGGCGCTTAAATTCGCTTCCGCTCGCGCACACCCCGCGCGTATATTTAAATAAGACTGATTGAGTGCAAATTGCCGTCAGTAATGGCGGACACAATGGACGACGCGCACAGCAATAGAGGTAATTCGAAGACAATGCGTTCGTGTTCTCATAATTCGGCGCGTTGATGTTAATGGAAATGCGCACGAAAGTGGAAAATGATCGACGCTGAGTTGCGAACATTTCCGACAATGGAGGAAACAATATCATCAAGGGTTACAAACCATTATATTTAGTAATCAACTTGTTGCTTTGGCAAGAAAACATTAAACAAGTGTTTAAATGAGGTTCAAAAGTTTAAAATGTAATTTTTTGATATTTGTAACGAAATTTTTGGTTTATTGCTATTGCCTAGACATTAAAATGTTACTTTACTGCAATGTGAATGTGGCAAGATTGAACTTAGCATTGTTTGGTTGTTTTGATGCATTTGAGCAGTGATGAGTCGGATATAAACACATATTTCACGGTCTCGTAATCCCGACCGGATTAAATCGGCCGCGCGCGCACGCCGGGAACGTGCGCCGTTAATATAGCCAGGACCACCCGTCGTCCGGACGGATCAGCAAGGCTCGACTTCCTGAACGCGCCCGACATGCGGATTAACATCGAAAAACGTCATATCAAAGTGCACAACTGACGAGAATCTACGCTGAAATAATACCATAACCTTAAATTTACACTCAGCTATTTTTATAACCTAAAACTTTGTTGGTTATGCATCTGTACGAGTCTAAATCTTTCAACGTAAATGTTTGACACTGAAGCGTTGTGCGACCTTTAGTAGTCTACTACCCTCTGGGGACGTTGTTTACGCGCCGCCATGAATAAACACGGGCGATTTTCTCAGGTTCGCCTCGTTCGCCTTTTCGGCAGCGCGCTTAAGCTGTGCCACGCGGCGGGACGTCGCTCAGCAGTTAATAAAGCGTTCGCGGGGCACAAGCTTCTTGCTCGTCTATTGATATCACCTTAAATATTCGCCGGCCGACCACCGTGGGCCCTCCCGGGGGCAATTTGTAAATAGTCGCCTGCGTGCGCCACGTGCCGCGCGCGGCGGATGTTGCCAATATGCCGATCGGCGATCTCCAGCGCCACGTGCGACGTGCGAACACCCACGGGGGTCGTGCGCGCCACGATGTTGATCCGCATTCTATATCTGATCCGGTCTTTTGATGATGTATTTATTAAATCTCGCTTTTCCACCCTCGCACCCTCAAGCAACAGTGTTTCTAACATGTCGACTTTATTTCCATACAATTGTTTAATAAATGTTTACTTTTTAAAAACTCAATCTTTCTATATCTGAGTCTGACTTGCCGTCGTCATTGCTATAATTATTGTTTATATGTGACACATGTTTATGGACGTGACGAACATGTTGGGAATATTGGTAGCTTTGAATGGTGACATCTGAGTTCGGGCTTTCTTCGGTAGTAGTACATTGTTTGATTACTCTGTCACTCTCATTTTTGCAAGTGACTGTTACAATTATCTTGGTCTTATCCGTTTGAGAGGTTTCTTTTTTTGTCTCGACTCCTGTTGTTTCTGAAGGGCAAAACTTTTTCTCTTTATAGCCAGGACAGTCACCTATAATTTGAAATAAAATTAAACACAGTTAAATAATCCAACCAAACTTATAATAAAAAATATTTATTTGTGCTTACCTTGAACATTTGAAATGATTACGAATGCAACCATCAAAAATACAGCAATTTTCATGATTATTTGTTTTTAGTTACGAATCAATAGGAACCAGACTACGACTGATGCTGGAGTCCAATCCAACTTCAACTTATATGTTTTTTTTCGGTGCACATTTCTATCGTTATGACCTATTGTCCGATAAGTGGTCAAGGAGGAGTTATCAAAACATTGCACTCAGATTGCTAAAACGCTTGCATCGTTTGCAATTTATGCTGGCAAGTTGTGACATAACGCGGAAGATAAATATTTAATTATCAATTCAGTTTTAAATTGATGATTAAACTGAAAAACAAAATTATACAAGTCATATGAATCGCAAAATCTGTTGGTAAGCGCATATGTCAACAACGCTTAGGCCAATTTGACCAATTCTTTTTTTAGATGTTCGTTAAAGTCCAAGGATGGTTTTTACGGCGAGAAAAATTTGAATAATTGCCGGAAAAACCCTAAAGACAGCCCTTATCTATAGTTGGCATTGAGATTCAATCATAGTTATAGTTAAATAGTTGAATCCGAGATGGCGCGTTGAAGTGCATTATTAGCGATTCTTTATAAGATTAAATTCTTTAAAATAAAATTGCGTATCTTATTGATAGAAGAGACATAATATGTCAAGAACAAGAGAGTAAAAACAAATTACATTTTTATAAAACACTAACGGGACGAAGTTTAAGATATATTTCATAAAAATGTTTTAAGGTTAAAATAATAAGCAATCAAATATACATTCGTAATTACACTATATCTAGTGTTTAGTTAAAGCAATATTTTATTATTTAATCATATTCATTGATTGCCATTTTACTTGACGTGGTGAAAATGGGAAACAGTGAAAACTATTAGTTAATC